GCCTTAAAAATCACCTTAAAACCATAAAATTAGAGGGTTGGTTTTGGAAGGATGTTTGCTGTACAAGACAGTGAAAATCCTTAGCAAACAGACGTTTGCTGGACGGAACTGCGCAAAACGCATAATCGTACCGGCTACCCCGATGCGCGCTGCTATTAATTTTCTATTTACTATAGTAATCTATTATCAGTCCACGCAACTACGATACAGAGATGGAGGCTGGGAAATTTGTCTTTTAGATACTTTCATAACATTTGCTTCTTTATAGTTACTTTTGTCAATATGTGGTTCTGTTTTACTAGTGTTGCCATCAGACGATTACAGCAACAGAAAAAAAAAAATATGATTTGAACTAAAACTTTCATGAACTTACAACTTGAGGATGAATGCCTTGTAATTAGGGCCCTTCGCTGTGATAATGTAAAAATTCTTCATTAATTGCTACGTCCCAGTTCAGTGAAGTTACAAAACCTCCAGCATAAACATCTTTTGGATCATGCTTGAATAATATTGCGTAACAGAAATTTCCGTCTTTTATTATTGCCATTGCTGCTGTCGTGATAATGACGTAGGCGCAGTGATATTAGTAAGGTAGCAGCTGCATTAGTATCGGGTGCGGTAACAATATAATTTCACGAATAAGGATTGTTTTTCAGGAAATTGCCGGGTGAGGAAGTGGATCATCATTTGAATGCGATCGCAGAAAGAGACTAACTAACTCTCATTTACCAGTCCGCGATTGTTTTTTTTTTTTTTTTTTTGTTAATTAGTGTTTTTTTTTTGCTGTGATTTTTACAGTGAGATTTTTGCGACGCATCGGTGAAGCATTCTGTTATAAAAGATTTATTTAAAAAGCTAGAATTCAAGTGTTTTCTCATTTTTCTTGAGAATCTTTATCTTCCGCAATACTGATGGTTCGGGCTCGATGACGCTCTTCCGTAAATCGTATACTGGTTGGAGTTCGTGCGCGTATTGTCGATGCTTGAGATTTTTTATTGTTTTTTGTTACCATCGAACCGCGTGCAGGCGCTGGATCTCTAAAGCAATCTTTTGGGGAAATGGTGAAGATAGTGTGAAAGTACAGGGAGCATTTCTAGAACAAAAATTGATTTTCTTGTATCCTCTTGGGTAATACGGCTGAAAGCTGCTTGGAATTTCAGATATCTTGTTCTCAGAACCATGTACTGTTTAGACACATTTTG